CTCAATGCAGTTTTGTTGGGGCTCAAATGGTAAGAATAGATTCAGGACATTGACGTCAGGATTTTCCATGACATCTGCCAGCTTACAGGGTACTTTGGTTTCAAAATACTCGACTCCCTCATCGTTGCATTCAAAAGTGAAATCTTCCCTCATAGTTCCTGCCAATGGATAGAACTGAGTCAGGGTTTTTGAGAGGGACTTCTTAAGCAAAAGGGATCTTTCCAAAAGATCAACATTTTGTTCAGCGGGATAGAACAGAACAATTGGAATGTAGATCGGGGGTGCAAGCTGGTCCAAGAAAGAAAGCTTCAGGTTTCTAAGGTTATGCGGGGTTGGAATTGAAGGCTTGATTGTCTCTTTAGAGACAATTTGGATATCGATCATCGCCATTATCTTCTAACAGATGACTAATCAGCAATTACAAAAGTTTTATAAGAAAAAGATAGCAATGCTTGTTCCAATGCGTAAGCTTTCCCTCTTATATAGAGGAGCTGATAACATTGGAAGTGTCAAATTAATAGACCAAAAATGGTAACTAAAAATCAAAGATTCTGACCAAAAATGGCTATCATTTTAAGAAAATTAGTAACGGATGCATATTGACTTGGCCCGTGGCTGCAAGTGCCATTTAACTGTGTCAAGCTTTGATTCATATTATTATCATCAACAAAAAATATAACCAAAAGAAAAGCCCGTCAAAATCCGCCACCGCAAATGTTGATCGCAGTTAATCTTTCAGGCATACAGATTGGTAAAATGCCTTGAATTCCATTTTAGAGCGAGCTCCACACTGCAACAGAAATCAGGCGGAACATATAATGTTGCTTTGAATTGACAATTTCAACCAAGGATTTGACATTTTGAATCAATGTCGACTTCTCTCCTTATTCTAACATACCATGGATGGCCATTGGTCGCATTTGATGCCTAGTGAGATGGCGTGTTTTACCCATTTTAAAAGTCAACTCATAAACAACAAAAACATAACATTTTGTCCTTCAAAATATATACCAATTTGATATTATAGCTCAAGGTTAAGGATATTTCTTTGTTTTTTTTTTTTTTCGTTACTTAATTTTCTCTTCTCCACTTAACATTAAGTATAATGGTTTCTCTAACTCTTATGATCCAAAAAAAAAAATCAAAATTCTTCTTAACGTTCTCAAAAGATACTTTATCAATTAAATTTGAGACTACATCTTATAATAATAGGTATAATATTTAAAAATTTTGAAATTATTTAAAAAAATTCAAATAAATTTATATTGTTTATTATATTTAATCAAGTTTTTATTCTTTTATCATGAAATAAATAAGTTTTTATAACTAATAGTTAAAGTTAATCAAAAAACACCACTTATTATTTTATATCACTTGGTTAACATAAAATGCTAACATATTGTAGTAGATCATTATATATATGACATGTTGATGTGATAAGATAATATAATCAAGTGATATTTTTCACTTTCCATGTTAGCATTACTGTCACTTGGTATTAAAAATGACAGGGACGTTTTGAATAATGATCATTAATCAATGGTTAGTCATAAAAGCTTATTTGTACCAAAATCAAAATATAAAAATTTAATTGAATATGATAAAAGAATTAATGTTTATTTGAATTTCTTCAAAAGTTCAAAGACTTTTTCAAATATTATGTCTATAATATAAATCTTAAAAAAATAACTATAATTAAGATCTATGAGACAAATAAAAGTAAGCTCTTTCTCTTTATATATAATGTAGAACGATATACCTCCGTATAAGGATTTGAAGCAGGGACAATGACAGGCTATATTCTTGGATAAGATTGGTTGAACAAAACCGATATAATATTAAAATTCAATTCATCTCAAACTATGATTAAAAATTGTTCAAATAAAATGAAAATTCTATGATTATATATTAGCCATGAAACAATTTGATCATTTTATGAAGTTAAAGCTCCTACACATTTTATGAAAATTCTTTCGTTATCCTTTAGCGAGACGGTTGGGTGGGTTTGACAAATGAATCAGTCCATTTTCTCTCAAAATAGGACGTAGAACCAAGAGAAAGTGGGCAAACAAAAATATTGTAGTCGTTTTCTTTTCTTTTCTCTTTTTCTTTTTATTTGTTAAAACTTGTAAAGATGAATACTTACAAAGCGCTGACAACAATTTGTAACAATATCTAAAACGTATTCAATGTCAACTCAAGATAGTCGTCGTTCTTATCCTTTTACTGATCAGAGGTTTGACCATGACTTTTTATTATGTGTGAATTTAAATGCTATTTTTCAATAAGCGGAAAGTGTCAATTAAAATGGTATTGCGTCGTTCACTTTTTTTTTCGGTACAAATTAAAGAGTAAATCCACTTACTTGCACTAATAATATTGTGGAACAAAAAGGCTGTTAACTACATAGGGAGATTAATAAAGTTTCCTTCACAATGAACGTGATGTGTTGAGTATTGGTCTAACTAGAACTTAAGATTTTATGTATGGCCTTGTATAGCATTGGTTTGTCTTTCCCCTGTTAATGGCCTTGTTTCAGCCTATGTGTTGCTTTTTGTATGGCTGTTTGGGATGTTCTGTGTAGCATGCATGTTGCTGGGGATTTTGTGAGGATTTTTTTTTTTTTGAAATATTTATTAGCAGGAGTACTCACACAAAATGCAGTGCAAACTTCACAAAGAAACACAACAAGGAACAGAAAGGTGGCTCAAAATAAACTGTTGACAAGCAAACAACAGCAAGAAAATCCAAAGAGCCAACATTTATTTGGCAAAAAATCTTTCTGACAAGCCGTAGTGTAGGCAAAAATTGTAGTGCTTAATGACGGAGGAGAGTGAAGACTTTCTGAAACATATAAACGAGTTCAACGAGATCATTGCTCTCTTGAAAAGGATTGACTCGAACATGGAGGAAAAGAAGAAGATACAATTGTTGCATCGCTTTGAGACTCCTATGAGTTATTTTTAGAATCTTTGATTTGTAAGAATGATACAATAAAAGTAAAACAAGCACAAAGAACCATGAAGCCTGAAAGAACAAAAAGGAATAGGATAAAGATTCAATTAACTTGGCATTAGTGGTTGTGGTTCGAAAGAATAAGTCAATCGATAAGAGACCTTAATTAGGGTGGTAAGTGTAGATCCGATAATGTTTAGTGTTTTTTATGCAAAGGGTATGAGTATATTTAGCAGTATTATCTTACAAAATCAAGTGAAGGTAATAAGAACAAAAGTGTGTGTTCCTGTTCCGAATTATATCATAATACTATCCTCATAATTTTAAAAAGTATGAATGCAAATTCTAGTGATGATTGTTATTTGGATTTTACTTGTCACCCACTTATGTTCCCAAAAGGATTATTTTGATTTGCTTCAAGAAGTGCTTAGAAATTTGATTTTGAATGATAAATCAATTGTCAAGGTCATGACTCTTGTGGTTATAAGACTTATAATGTTTGATGGTGTTATGTGCTTTTTGGTTCATGTGACTTACGTTTCAAAGATGTGTAGGAATCTAACTCTTGATGTTATCGATATTTTGCCAATGCTTATAAGTAGTAACAAGGTAACGTGATCATGATGAGAAGAAATTTGCATAATGATTTGTATCCATATAGATAATAGTTAGCAAAGTTAAAATTCATCTACTGAGGAGCTGATCAAAGATTCCAATGGGGTAGATGATTGCGAGAGAATGATTTTAAGTTACCTTGTTTGTTCAACTTAAAAGGATAAAACCTACGAAGACAGGGTAAGCTATGGCAGCCAACCAAACTTTCCCTTTTCATATTCATTAATTAGCCTATACATGTATCGTACGAGGACCAATATACCCATTTTGTATTTATCCAGCTAGTTGATGGTATTGAAGTCTTCTTCAATTAATGGTTCAAAGTTTGAAGTTTAGCACTGTCCTTTATCTTTATGTTGAATTTTACATCCCGAAAGTAGATGTAGGGCCCACTTAATTTGCATTTTAACCAATATTAAAAAAAAAGAAGAAGAACAAACCAAGATGAAGAAGCACACCGAAACTTGTTGAATATCTTATTTAAGTTCAGATTTCAATAGGCTAATTTTATCCAAAAAATTTAAATGCAATTCTTCATGTGGGTTGATGTCTTATTCATCATGGTTGCTTTCTTTTCCTTCTTTTTTTACTTCTATACACACACTTGAACTCTGTTAAGATGTTATAAATGTAATCTCAATTTTCATTTTTTGAGTAAATTACACTAGACATCTATAGTTTTTTGTAAAATATTTTATTTTCATTTATGGTTTTTTAAACTCATTTTGTGGATATGTAAATTTTAAAAGTGTTTCAAGTTCGTTTATTTTGTTAACAACGATTAAATTTAACGAAATTTTACTATTTAAACGTGATGTAACCGTCCATGTGGATATCCACATGACATATATCCAAGCCATGTGTGTAAGCTCATGTGTTAAAACAATTGGACCCATATGACTTTTTTTGGGTTGATCATATTTATGTCACATGAATATTCATATTACGTTGAAGTGACATATGTTGTTGATTTTTAAAGATAAAATGATAAAATGGATAAATTTAAAATATTATTAAAAAGTAAGGATCAAAATATTAAATTTTAAAAATTATAAATAACTAAATTTAAAAAATTATGAATGAAAATAAAATATCTTTATTATATGAAACTCGTGAATCATTGGCGCATTTTACTCTCTTTTGCTAGAAAGAAAGTGTTAGCAGAAAAATTGTACTTTTAGTCTAACTAAATTTCTGCCAGTCGCGCTGTAGCAGAGTTATCTTCTTCATCTCCAATTATTTGGTTTGGCAGGCGCTCCATCAACACATGCATGAAACAGAGTCAAGACAGTGCACGCGCCACTGTTTACAAAGAAAGTTTTGGCTTTTGGCGACACCCATATTAGGTGGAGACTGTCTTGTTACCTTCTAACTCATGACCACTTAACTTTGGGTCGATGCATGTGTGCATCTTATTGCACATGATGATGTATCAGCTGATAAACTCTTTCAAAGAAAATGTAAATAGTACTACAACACGTATTTGAACTAAAAATATGCAGGGAAACAAGGAGAAGTTAGAAATTCTAGCTAGTACAATATAGAGATTTAGGCTTAGTGAACATTAACAGAGAGAAAAGATACAGGGGAGACAATAAAGAGTCATAGTGAGGGCGAGGAAGAACGGAAGGTGGAAACAGAAGCTTATGTCTGCCTATATATGTATCGTATTTAGGTGATCAATACGAGGGAGTGCAGGCAATGCAAGCAAGCAAGAGAATGGCAGAGGAAGCCCCATCTTCTTCAAGATTGGAGGTGCTCCTCTTAAACTTGGGAGTTTTCCCCTTGTTACATTGTATCTGCTTCTGCAGCTGCTGCTGATGGTATTGCTGATGGCAATGATCCCTTCCCTTGTGACTCTGTTGCTGTGACTGCTGTTGCCTCTTCATAGCTTCTTCCACTTTAGAAACCATAATTTTCTTTTATTCCTCTTGCAACTTGATCAGGAAACTCACAGCAAATTATGGCAATTCAGAGAGGAAAATAATTGAGGAGAGGAGAGAATCGGGCTTGTGCATGGGGAGCAACATGAACCTTGTCAATTTATAGCACAAAGTTGTACCAAAATGCCCTTGGTTTCTATTCCTTATCACAATTGCCATGCATTGTGCTACTCAACAAGACCTGGTTGGGATCTCCCAAGTCCCCACTCTTACCATTTTCCAAAAATATAAAAAATTTCTATGATCTGAATATAACATTATACTTTGAATATATGATATACATAAATATAGAGGACATGGTGGGGTGATGCATGTAAGTCTTTGCTTCAATGTTGAATAATTGTTTTATTGTTTTTTTTTTCTGAAGCATAGCCCTCCCTCCCCACTTTAAATGAATTCGATGTTATGTTGTAGGAGTTCAGGTCCTACATGTTTCGGTGCCCAGCCTTCTGGCCATGTGTAGGCACAGCGAGCGGTCCCCCCACCCTATATATATGATCTCTACTAGTAACTAATAATTCTAGATTCTGGACCTAACCTAAGAATAACAGGCCTTGTCAACAGTAGTTTAGAGAGGTACAGCCACAAATATTCAAAAATTAAAATTGTACCTCAATTTTATTTTCAAATTTGACAGTTATTGTCAATATAAGTGCATGGCTATGCATGCAAAGAACATTAAAAACTCTCCTTAACATGACATAAATAGCCACTAAACCAATCAAAGTGTCAAGAAATTTTTCATGAAACTAGACATTAACAGTGGAGGTAAAATTTGACCGAATACGAAAATTCTTGTGAATCAATTTGAAACCAAAGCTGATCCAAATTAATTAAAAAAATTAAAGACTTTAAATCAAAAATAAATTGAACTCAAGATTATCCAAACGTAAAATAGCCCAAACTTGATATCATTCGAACCTGAAACAACCCAAACTCAAAACTTGAAACTGATTTAATCTGAAACCCATATTTTTAACTTGAAAATATTCAAATTTTAATTATGTTTTTTAAAAACGAGTAAAAAAATAAATGATAATTTTTTCTTAAATAAAAATTTAAAATTTAGAAGAATATTATCATATGTAATTATTATAGAATTATATAAATAATGTATTTTCAATATTTTGATGTTGAATATTAGAATTTTAAACTTGGACTAATGTTATACAAAATAATTTATCGATTAAATTTATTATGTTATTGTCAAGCCAAGACATCTTTATTCTTCGTTAATGCCAACATTAAAAAATGATCGAATGTTAAAATTATAACAATATTTTATCAATTAGTTATAAATATCATATTATTGAATTTCTTATAATTTCTAAACATTAAAGTTAGATCAACTAATTGACCTATTAAGGTTAGTATTCTTTATGAGCGGTAATTAGTTATTTTTCAATAATGTCCTTTAGTCACTCTAATTGGATATTTGTCTAAGGTCATATCTAATGATCATAATGCTTATAATTTATATCCAAACTAAAAACAATAATTAGACACAAGAAGAAATACAAATATTTATCAATTTTTGTATCATGTTTTTATCTTAAATTTCTTAAATTAATCAATAATATTAACATCGACATGACACCTAGTAAAAAATAAATTATTTTTTTGAAAGATACAAAATAAAATAAAATTATTTATTGCATTCGAATTTACAAAAATATTTATAATGCACATAAATTTCAAAATGATCCAAATTTCATCTAAAACTATTTAAATTCGAGACAACTCAAATACAGAAGTTCAAAACCCATACAATTCAAAGTTAAAATATCTTAACTCGAGACGGTTCAAGTGCAAAACAGTTTGAACCTAATACAATTTAATTCGAAAGGATCTAAATCCAAAATGATCCAAACTCGAGATAGTTCAAACCTGAACTTAAGTATTGTCCAACCTGAACCCGTTAGAATCTGACCAATTACCAATTGTAATCATTAACATGGACACTAAAAAAAGAAGAAAATGCCTTGTCTAGAAAACATCTCAAGTTGAGCTAATAAACCAAGCATATATAAGTGCATTTGATGATTGTTCAATCCAGCTGGAAGAGTTGGCAAAACTGTGCATCGGATTCTCCTTCAACCATATATGCAGACTTCAGGAGTAATAATTTTTCTTAGCTGGTCCTACGTTGAAAATTATACTCTTTTCCGTCTGGAATGGAATCATTTCTCCTCCATTGACTTTCACCTACATGCAAAAACAATATGTAATTTTGCATTTATTTTATTTATAATTTAAAGTTTTTTTATATTATTGATGGACAATGCTTTTTAATGTGAAAATGTAAGAAAAAAATTATGGAAAATAATTTTATTTTGAAATATTTCAGAAAATATGGGGAAAAAAGAAAGAGAAAGGAACAGTATTCAAACTTGTGGCTTAGTATGCACAAATATAAAATAAATAGGGAAGTTGATACCTTAGAGTGAGAAACCAATCATTATAGTTTATAGATGAATCAAGATCACAAAAAATGGATGAAAATTTTGAATCTGTGTAATGATTAGTTTTTGACTTTTGAAAGCTTAGAAGATAAATATCAGATACAATTATGGAGAAGGAAATTAAAAATAAAACACAAAACAAATGGAATAAAAGACAAATTGAAGAGATGAAACCATTGCAAAGAGACGTTCATCGAATGGGGATTGGGTCGAGTAGTCATTGTCGTGACTCCGGAGTGAGGGAGTTCCTTCATGTGCATAACCATGTGGGCATGTGTTCATGTTTCCGCTATCTTGCAGTCTGACCCGCTTCTGCTTGTCCTCACTTATAAAATTATGCTCTTAACTTTCTCGTTTTCACTTTCATTTCTCTTGTCCCACTAAGTATTGCCAGAGTTTTTACTTGCATAACACCTACACTTCAGTACTTGATGAATGCGTTAAATTTGTTCAACCTTGATAGCAAGTAACACTAGATCTGAACCATTAGAAGATTGAGCAATTTATTTATGTTAACTGAAGCTTAATATCAAGTTTAAAATGCAATAGTTATATCGAATATGTTGTAATTTTCTCAATTATCAATTTCCAGTATTACGAAATCAATATCTCAACTCTAGTTGCTTGGCACTAGCTAAAGCTAGAACACTAGAAGCCAAACCTTTCGCAGTTTTGTAGGTCCAAATGCATGCATGAGTACTTTTCCTTACGACATGTGAGCAGAAGACGGAGCAAATGCACAGGAAGGGAGGGACCCCTCTGAATTCCAAGGAACGTGAATGAGCCAAGAAATGGGATGAAAATGCGAGTTTACCATTTATCAATGAAGAAGAAGAAAGGGGGTCAAGGTCCGTAACTGAGTTTTGTTGTGATCGAAAGAGACAAGAAGTAGAGGGGTGAGGGTCATTGAGCCCATAATTCTAAACATTGAAAGGAGCATTGGCTATAGAAAATGGGATGTTGGCTAATCAGAGAACAAGCCATTTTGGCCGGTTTGACCCTCCCGAGGAGATTTCATGGAGAACGCCATTGACTCCATTATTGTTTGATTGAATGCAACTAGCTAGAGTCTCTCTGTCTCTGAAAACATATCTCCTTGTTTGTACTTCGGAGCTTATCTTTTTCTTTCTTTCTTTCTTTCTTTCTTTCTTTTTTGGTAGAACAGGCAAATATACTTGACCTTTACAGACTGGATCTTTGTCTTCCTACATACCTAGGAATACCAAATACGTTGATTCACATTAGTTGCGTTGCCATCCTGGCTCTATGATTGACTTCAATTATGTATAATTATATTAAATAAATTTGAAAAAAAAATGCCAGCCATTGTATGTTTAGCTTGATTAATTTGTAATCAACTCAAATAAATGGAATCAACAACTAAGATTAAATTCTATACCTAAGCACCGAAATTTGAATAGTAGTATAATAGGTTAATGAGGTGCAAAGGGGAAGCTAGCTAGGTTGTCAATTGTCATATCCAACACCAATTGTCGATTTTTATGCCTCAGTTTGGAACCCACTATTTTAGGAAGAAAGATACAAATCCATCACCTGGTTGCTCGGGTGACCTTGGAGATAAATTTCATTGAAATGGTCTCTCCTCTTCGTCTGTTCTTGTGCTCCGAAAGAGAGAGACTGATACGAAACCCGGGCTTGGGCTTTGGTGTGGGTAAGCTGTCCTGACGGGTGAGAAATTGGTCCACGTGAGAAAAAGCCCCAAACTCCATCACACAGGAACCCAACATTTGCTCCAATGGACTCCGAATGTTATCATCTAGCCCAAACATTTGACATAAAGCATTTTTAAAAAAAAAGAACACTTCGTTTTATTTGGTACAGGAACATTAGAAATAGATTTAAGGCCCAGTCTCAATAGCCTTTTCATCTTTGAGCCTCAGTTCTTCCTTTCCCCGATCATTAGCTTCGGGGCTTAGAAAAGCGACGAAATTGACCTATGTAACATATAAGCCAAGTAGTGCTACGTAAAAATGGACCCAACTTATACTCCGCCAAATTGAATAAAATTTGCTTAGAACGATTGGTTTAATTGGTTATTCGTTTTATTGGTTCAAAAATTTTGATTTTATCTGTTTATTTGATTGATTCTCAATCTTAAAATTTTTAAATCCAATCGATTAAAAAATCGAACTTAATATTATATATAGTACATTTATATGTTAATTTTGAGGATGTTAATGTTATTACTGTTAAATATAATTATTTATGTATGTTTTATTAGTTTTTTTATTTATGTTGGTTTGTGTTAATTTATTTATGTTTAGATTATTTATATATTTTATAATAATGAATAAAATTTATAAATTTTAATATTATAATTTGTAAAAGATAAAAATGATAAAATTTCAATTCTTTTAATCTATAACTAAATCGGTTGAACCAATTCAATCTTTGATAAATTCAATCCTATTTTTAAATTTAATCAATTCAATATATTTTCTAGCAAAATTTATCTATTCGATCATCAACTATGATAAACCAAACCGACTAATTGCTCATACTTAATTTCAAGGGTTAACGATGTCTGTAAGACAGAGTGATGACCAAAAATGCATCTCAAAAATAAAGATCTATGACAAGGCAGAGATGATTAGATCAAAGGTCAATATCCGTAGGAAGATTGTATGCAAGGGCAGCTTCTCTTCAAAAGAAAAGACGGACATGGTCCTCAAGTATTTTAATTTTACATGTAATTTTTTTTTTAATTTTCTTAACTTACTCTCAAAATATTGTGAAACTTATATTTATTAGTTAAGCTCAACATATAAATTCTAACTCAATATGCTAAGCTTATTAGATTTAAAATAAAATAAGAATGAGTTTACTAATCCAAATTCACTAATTCTTAATATAAATTTAAATTTATTATAACATATTATATATTAGTAGTACGGCCTAATAGAGGTGAGCAAAACCAAATTTGACTAATTATTCACTAAAAACCAAATGTAATTTAGGTAAAATGATTTAGTCTAATTGATTCATTGGATCAATTAGTTTAAAATGTCTAGTTCAATTGATTTTTTTATCGATTCTCGATTTTAAAATTTTTACAACAATTCGTCTAAAAAATAAAACTAATTTTTTATATATATTTAATATATATTATTATTACACCTTAATATAAAATGTTTCGTATCATAAAATGTTATGAATATATATATAATTTTATAAATATAATATATATATTTAATTTATACATAAACATTCCTATAACTTATAATAAAATTTATTTATATTATTACATTTAATAATTTTATTAATTATCATGTTAGTTTTTATAACATATTGTTTATGATTAATTATTATTTATACAAACTTTGATATAAAATACTATAATTCATAAGTTGTGTCATTAATTTCATATATATATATATATATATATATATAATAAAATAATACATATCAATATATACTATATAAAATTAACATATTAATTATACTTATAATAAATAAGTAATTAATATTGTAAAAAATATTAAAATTAATTAATAATTAATAAATAATATATTATAAATAAAGAACCAAAAGATATTGGTTTTGTTTACAAAAAAATATTGAACATATTATTTTATATATTAATGTTTAATATATTATGAACATCTAAAGAGATTATTATTAATTATTTATTATATAGTAAATGTTAAATTTTATGATTTTTTATATAATTTTTTTATTTTTAATCTTCTTTGACTTTGTTATTAAAAAAAATTTATACTAATTATATTTTTTATTTTCTTTCAATTGTTAAATAGTCTATGTGAGTGAATGTGAAAAGCCTACTCATGGAGAAGATTTAAGTTGATAATTCGTTATGGTTAATGGTCTTGTGTTAGTTTTATTTAATGGATGCTAATTTTATTATGATTAACTTTTTGTTATGTTAAATCTTGAATGTTAAGTTGATAGTTTATGTAAAAAGATAAGATTATGTGAGTCAAGGAACAAATATATATTTTATATTTAGATTATTTGTATATTTTATGATGGTTAAAAGACTTATCTAATCTACGTACTCTTTAATTTTGTTCAATTTAATCCCTATACTCAAAATCGAAATAATTTAATCATTTGATTTTAAGAATTACGTCAA